AGAGAGAGAGAGAGAGCGAGAGCGCTAAATTGCCTGTTGATGTCACTAATAATGAGCAGAACTAAGACTTGAATCCACCTTCCCCATTCCGTTCTTTCTACTATAACATGTAATTGCCATATCAAGGTTAACTTCTATTTATTTGTTTGTTTGTTAGTTTGTTTTTATTCCTCACCCAAGAATACTTTTCTATTTATCATCAGATAGAATGGGAGGGAGAGGGAGAGAGAGAGAGACAGAGAGAAACATCGATATGATAGAGCCACATGGACTGGTTGCCTCCCACATGGTTAACTTCTGTTTTTAAAAAACAGATTCCCAGGACCCTCCCTCCACTCTCTAGTCAACATATCTGGGTTTAGGTTTGGGAATCTGTTATTCTATTTTATTGTTTAACCTTCGAAAGGCGATTCTGATGACCAGCCAGCTTTGGGTAGTGGTTGGACATCTGTATCTGTGTCTCTAAGCTTGTCCTCTTCCTCAGCCTACGCTGTGGTCAGTGGCACATTGTCCCCTGCCTTTGCCGAATGAGGCTGGGGCTGGGGCGCCTCCCAGGCCACGCTGCGTATCTCCTCGGCCCCCCGGGAAGTAGTGCAAACACGCTCGGCCTTCGCTGTAGTTCCCACGGCTAGTTATGCTTTTATTCCTGTCATTGCCTCTTTTGCTTTCCATTCGCATTTGCACAAAGCCTTCAGATGACCAATTCACTCAGATTCTTTCTGCTTTCTAACTACAAAGGTGAGGTTTATAGACACCCAATACTTAGATGCTAAAAGGCTATTGTCCCCTGTACCCTGTTATTCATCTCCCTTTCCTTTCCTGCTTTTTAAAAATGTCACTGCAACCATCAGTGATTAAAACCAAAAGAGTTTGGCTCAGCAGTTAGAGCGTCGGCCTGCGGTCCAGAGAGACCCGGGTTCGGTTCCCGCTAAGGGAGCGTGCCTCGGTTGCAGTTTGTCCTCGGCCCTGGTTGGTTGTGCGGGTGGCAGCCACTTGATGTGTCCCTTTCATATTGATGCTTCTCTCTCTCTCTTCTTCTCTCTCCCCCCCACTCTGTCTGAACAAAAAATGGAAAATAGTGTCCTCGGGTGAGGACAAAAAAAAAAGAGAGAGAGACTTTGAATGTTGAAAATTTGGTGGTCTCAGCCACCCATTAATTTAAATCTTTCCTCCTCACTATGTAGGTGTTATATTGGCCCATTATAACAAGCTTTTAAATATAATTATATAACCCAGTCAGTGTGGCTCACTGCTTGAGTGTCAACCCATGCACCAAGAGGTCCCCAGTTCGATTCCCAGTCAGGGCACATGCCCAGGTTGTGGGCCCGATCCCCAGTGGGGGCCATGCAGGAGGCAGCCAATCAATGTTCTTTCTCATTGATGTTTCTATCTCTCCCTCTCTCTCTAAAATCAATAAAGAAAAAATATTTAAATATAGATGTATAACAACAGTCAACTCAGAATCATTTTTTTTCAGTCAGTTCTTCTCTCTTCTATAGTATAAGTTAAATGAAACAGTTGACTTTGATGGTCTTTGTCACTATTACCGACTTTGGGTGGGTAAACTGGTTCTCCCTTCCTTAGGATGAGATATATATATATATATATATATATATATATATATATACACACACACAGATATTTTTTCTCTCTCTCAGGTGAATTAAGACAAAAATATATAATGTGTGAAAACATCAACATGTCCCATATTATAATTAGGATCAATTATTTCTAACAGAGAAAGCAGCAGATATACTATATTAAAATGGGAAAAGCAGTGTTTACATCCTGAGAAGAACAATAAGAGATTGATTACTGCTAAGGTTTCGGGGATCACTGAGTCCTTCTGTGAGAGACACACGAACAAACACGGAGTCGGCGAGGGCGTCACAAAGCCACCGGAAAGGCCCTGGCCAAACACAGCCACCGAGTTGGGATTAATGAGATGAGAAATAGTGACTTAGACTCTAATGTAATATGTTTTTATAAGCCATTCAAATTAGAGGTGAAAAGGAAGCTCTATTAAATTACCTTGAGCAGTATCTTTCAGCCGCTATGAGATTAACAAAGCACATTTCGCAATAGATGTCTGAAGACATTTAAGTAACCGTTCATTGAAAGCTAAAGTGGATGAGCCACAATTAAATAAGCATTTTGTCTCCCAAGTTAGACTGGTCCTAATGAGCGAGTCTAAATCTTGTTTTCAAGATCAAAATGGCCTTTTGTGGCGGCACCTCCCCGGCCGTCCAGCGGGCACGCTGGCCCCACAGAGCGAGACCGCGAGGCACTCCGTCCCCACACTGTTCTACGTCGCCGTCTGCTGGAAACCAGAGAGGTGATGCTGCTTCGGAAAAGCAGGTTTAGTTCAAAGGAAATGAAAGCCCCTTTCCCAGCTCCTCGAGCGCCCTCCTCACAGAGAAGAGGGCTTCCCCTGGGGGTTCGCAGTAGGCAAGGCCAGAGACCCCAGCCACAGCTCCCTGAGGGCATGGCTGGCCCAGGGCACGTCCCGAAAGCTACTACCTCCTGTTGGTTACTGACTGAGCATCCGTCTGTCTTCTGACTGGACTGGAAGCTATGCCACAGGCAGGGACCGTGGTGAGCAAGGAGGCCTCACCGACACCTTCTCTGCCTGTTCAAATGTTTGCTGTAGATGTTGGTGATGTTAGGGAGATAAGTAAGTGTGTTAATTAGTAGAATTTAGAAAGGCAAAAGCATCCGATTTCCTCTAAAAATGGAGCAGTTGATTCTTTGTCTTAGTTAATGTGGGGAGATTCCGTCTCTGTAGGAGGAATAAATACAAAATGAGTACAAAAATTCACACATTGTATCAGTTTATTAATACGTACATTTGTTTGTTTAGAAAACACAATAAAGCATAAAATCATCAGAATGTTTAAATAAGCCAAAACAATAAATGCATATTCACCTTCTCTGATCCTTTTTTGGTTCAAAGTTATGCCAATTATATCAGCATTTTCCAGGGTATGGGTGTAGAACTGGTCCTAAGTGATGATAATAGTTATTCCTAGTAAAATTGTTCCCTGGTTTTGTAATTTGGGGAAATCCTGGGTGAAAAAGATTAGAAGAAATTTCTCAAGGTTTTTGAGTTATGCCAACATGTTTTATGAATTTTCAAGGTTAGAAGGCAGATGGTATGGATTTACTAACATCACATAACTCATTTTATGGAACAACCAAGAGACTAGTGGCCTGAGGAACACCCTTTGGGAAATGCTGAGTCAGGCACATTTCTAACGTTTGCTCCTTCTGTTAGAGACATTGCACCACTGAAGACCTAAATCGAAAGGCCTGCCATTCTGTAAACCTTCCTGGGATGTTGTTCTCCATCCTGGCTCCCATTGGAGTCACCCCGGAGCTTCAGACATGCCAGTGCCAGGCCCCACGCCAGGCCAGCCAAGTCAGGGCCTCTGAGGGTGAGATTTCTGATCTACAAAATGAAAAGAATAATACCTACCTTACAGGGTCGTCATAAAATATAAATGAGATCATATGTGTAAAATGCCTACTCAGGTGCCTAAAACCAAGTTAAGTTTAAAAAAAAAAAATTATTTCTTTCTGGGGATAGTGTTGAATTCTAATTAAGAAATGTTTAAGGTACAAAAATAGAAAATCACTCGCTGGCTGCCGTGGTTTTGCATCCATGGATGCTAAAATCAGAGCGGGAAGATATGATGAGAAACAGGACGTTTGCATGGCCGCAAAGCATTTCCCCACAATATACTTATTAATTACAAGGGGGGGGGGATAGTAATTAACACTAGAATAATCTGGCAGACCCCGTCTTAACTAATGATGAAGGGTTACCTCACTAGTAACAAGACATGTCAGCATCCTAACCCCCTGATACCATGCTCTGGGGAAAGCCACCGGAGTAAGTCTTGCCCAAACTACATTACCCGGGCTTACTTACATGGGACATCAGACAAACCTAAGCCAAAGGATGTTTTACGAAATTACTGCTCAGTGCTCTCCCAGACTGGCACGGTCATGTAAGAAAATGAAAGACTGAGGAAATAGTCCTGATTGGACGAGGCTAAGGAACCATGACGGCTAAGTGCAGTGTGTGAGCCTGGATTGGATCAAGGAGCAGAAAAGGGATATTAGTGGGACAATTGGTGAAACATTTGAGAAACTCTTTAAATTATATATTTTTCAACATCATTTCCCTGGTTTTGATAGTTGTGCTGTGGTTGTGGAAGATGTTAACCTTTGGGGGTGATGGATGAAGGGTACATAGAATTCTATACTATTTTGCAACCTTTTTGTGAGTCTGAAAATTTTCAAGATGAAAGTTACAAAGAAAAAAATTAATGTTTCTTTATTTCTTCCCCATCCTGGGACTTCGGAAATACTAAAATCAGTACTCAAGAAGGTCTCTCCCTTCCTAGTACTGAGAGTATAGGGGCTATAGGCCCTGCACCTTATAGTATATATTGAGTTTCGTGAAAAAGAGGCCCAAGATGAGCATTTAACACACATTTCATATGGTTTTGATAAGTGTGGTTTCTAAATCAATGTGGCTAGAGGATTTGGTGGACGAGGAAAACAAACACGACCCAGGAGAGAGGGTAAGAGCAGAGGTGTGGAGAGAAGGCAGCAGGAGCTGCGGAGATGGGTTCGGGAAACGGCTCTTAAATCAGGGGCAGAGGGAAGAGAGACAGTTGTGGGGGTAGCTACGCAAGAAACTGAGAAGGAACAGAAAAGATTAAAGGTATTTTACTGACATTATGCATGTAAGTTCTCCTTGACATTTGCTGTGTAGAGCCTGCAGTAGAGATGTTGGTATTTTTTTCTAATTTTTTCTGTTTTTTTCTTTGACTATTACTCTATGTGTTGAGACTTCTCCTCAAAGGACTTGGTTAGAGTTTTGTTACATTGTGACACAGGCTAGGTCATGTCTCTTGTCTGGAAGACAGACCACTGAACCATTTACCTGGAAGCCCTTTGGCCTTCATGAAGAAAAGTAGTTTAGCCCCCAAACTCAGACGCCTGAGGGGCCATGTCAATACAGTTCTCTGATGCTGGGCATGAAGAGTGGCCACCACGGGACCCAAGGGGAACAGATGGGGAAGTGTTATGGGCACACCCCGAGGGCCTCAGGGATTGTCTTCACTGGCAGTGTCCACCGGTTTATTTCTAACCACTTTCAGGACTGGAAGCCAGAAATGAATCTGAAGAGACAAAAAGGTGGATGGATGAGTATCAGAGTCATTTCAAATCCCTCTGACATAAACTTCTCATGATGGGGCTACTGGTGTCAGGGAAAATTGCACAAGACTTTGAAATGGCCAGAAAAACGTGTCCTTTTGGGTTATCCTGGTCTCTCATCGAATGTGCACAGTGAAAATGATTCTTGGCCCAGACCTGCAGATAAATTGTGCCCCATGGAGCACAACGAATCCCCCGTGTACCCTTGGGGAAGAGTCAGTGTGCATCTTTGAAGCAAATTCATTGTGGTATTCCTGATGGCCTGTAGATGTGTTCAGTACTTTGAATTGGTTGAAATTTTTACTGTTTCCTCTTTAATTAATAACTTAAATAAAATCCTTGGCAAGCACTTATTTTATATATGAAAGTCATGCTATTATCATATATGTATATAAACATACATATATATCATTATATATATTGTATATATATTTTTTCAATGCTGGATAATCAGCAAATTCTTTGGAGTTTACCAAGGTGTAGTAGATATTTCCCTTCTGTTGTTTATTTGTCCTTGACCTGGTCAAGTAACTTCTTATTGAGCATTTTCCTTTAATAGCCATTACAAAGGCCTTCCCAGTAGCCTCTCCACAGTCTGACTACATGGTCACTTGAAATCAGTGTTTTGAGAACAAAGCTAGGAGCCTTAGCCATGCATATCTGCTAATTTCCACCCCCCACCCCCAGTGTCTCATCTATTGTTGAGAATATAACCCCAATGTGAAATTGAAGAGTGCTTTGAAATTCCATTTTGCCCTCAAAATTTCCTTAATTACAGGTATGCCCTCATCTCGGCCTTACCTTTGTAAAGTACAGACTCCGTTGTCTTTTTTCTTCTACTACTGGCTGCTTCGATCTTTTTTTCAGTATCTTCGCATGCAGGTACTGGATGCGCTCCGTCTGCACTCTTGGGTAGAAGGATGCTGACACCAAGATTTTCAGTTGCATCAAGAAGGAGGACAACAGTCCTAGCACCACTAGTATCACAAGAATAATACTGAGAGGAACCCAGGTCTTAGACAGAAGGAGCTTCGGTTGAGGGATGCAGTTGTGTTCAAACAGAGATATATTAAAGGGGGAATCATGGATGATGGTCTGAGTTCCTTGCTCCTAAAATGAAAGAATAAAATCATCAAGATCCATGCCACTTTATACTCTGTCCTCATCTTTCTCCACACTGACCTGCCCATATACATGTGTCCTAAAGTAGGCAGGAAGTTTTGGCAGGAGCTGCCGTGGGTCCTTCTGTGTGTTGCGACTGGAGGGAAAACAGCAGGTATCTTATCTGGAGCTACAGCAATGTTTTCCAAGGTGGGTGTGTGGATTTCCTTGAAAGAGGGCATCAAATGAGTTTGTCTACTTGTCCCTTCTTTGGAGAGTCACAATGCCCATAAGACTGTTAAAGGCTCTGAGAAGAAAGCCAAGAAATCTGTTTAACTTCAGCCAGCAGTTATCCTAACAAATTTGACCGCATAACTCATTTTTGTGGAGCACCTGTTTCTACACTTTGGGTCACACGGGACTAATGAAAGATGGTTTTAGTTCAGCGAGGGGCGCAGGTTTCCAGAGCCTGGCCCCTTAAAGCCCAGGCACACCCTCCTCATCAGACCACAAGGTCACAAAGATGTAGAGGCATTAAATGATGCTCTAAGTCAACATTCTAGAGCTTGGGGGTGGGGGGAATTGTTCTTAGTGTAAGAATACTAAGAATAGTATTCACTGAAGGTCTCAAATAGGACATTTTCTTATCTCTTAGATGCTCAGGAGCAGTGCATTCCTTCCTGCTTGAAGGCTAGAGAGCAAATCAGTTGTCCTCAGCAAACTGACAGAGAGAGCAGAAGATGACATTGAGTCACCCAGCCAAGCCACCAGCAAGAGAAGCGTGTGCTGATTCAGCTCTTTCTTTTCCCTGACCTGAGAAAGTCATTTAATCTCTCAGTGGGTTTGTTTTCTAATTTGGTGAAACAGGAATTAATGGACCAGATCCTGCCCATGAATAAACTACTCCCAGTGTAAATGCAGCACCTGAGGGTGGGGCATTGACCTCACAGAGGAGTACTTAGTACGTTATTATCACCCTGGCACCCCAGAGTCCTGGGGCCAGGAAAAAGTAAATGGCTTCTCAAAAAGAACCCAACCACACCCAGAGAACACCATGCACTTTGGATCTACCCTAATACCTGTGCAGAACCTGGACGTCTCGAACCAGGGACCTCCCTGCAAATGTGCAGTGAAACCTGTCATTTCCCCAGCACTGCGGCTAAGCAATGAAAGGCATTTGTGTTGCCTCGCCTTTTCTCTCATTAAGATAGTTTGCCTACAATCAGATAGAGAGATTTCTATCCCCATAGCAAAGGCACGCACTCTTTTTAATACCATTGAAGAAACAAACACATCGATTGAGTCAGTGATGAGAAATCCTGCAATAAGAAAGCAGCGGGTGTTCAGTCTGGGGAGAGCTTATTTAGTCTAGGAATCTAACTGAGGACTTTGCAGCTGGGAGTCAGGGCTTCATAAAGATCGAGTCAACATTTTTGTACAGGGTTGGTGGAGAGTAATGTGGAAGACAAATGAACTCTCTCAAAATCCCGAGCAATACACTGAATGGTACCCTGAGGTTTTAAAATGTGTTTACCTCCCTTAAGTAAACAATTTGCCAAGACAGCATTGAGTAATGGACAGAGCACCTGCTCTACCACCAGACGGTCCTGAAAAGTTAATCTAGACAAACGCTACACACATAGAAGGTGCTTCGTGAGCAGCAACTACGGCTAATTTTCCTTACCACGCCCACCCATCCAGCTAGCTCAATTCAGATCATTCCCATCTTCCTTCTTTACTGAAAATTGTATGAAAGTGAGGGAGACATACTGACAAAGCCTTGGGCTGATGTCTCTCTTCCGGCTTTTCTTCTCCTTTGCAAATCTGTGGCAATGGAGAGACCAGGAGCCCCTGGTGGCATCCTGGGGGTGAGGAGGTGCTGGCGGCACAGTGTCCCAGGCACCACAGGAGTCTGAGAGGAGCTCCCACGGTAGCCTCATCCACACATCTGTCTCAGTGCCCACTGTCTTGCCATCACTGTAAGTGGACAGGGTGGCCTCCCCCACCAGGACGTATGCCCCTCCATGGCAGCGATCAGGGTCTAGACATCTTTGCATCCCCAGGACCCAACACCCAGAAATGTATTCACGAGGACATTGTCACTGGAAAGTTTCTGGGCCTTTTTCCAAAGGCAGAACTTGGATATGTTTCCCCTCTTCTGTCTGAAATGATGAGAATTCACAAAACCGGCATGGGTGTTGGCTGAGAGATAAATGAATGAGAAAGAAGCAAAGAGAAAGAAGAAGAGGGAGAACCGAGAGGGGAAGATTAATGGAAGGGGAGGGAGGAGAGAGGCTTTTAGTAGCCAACCCCCAGGATCAAGCCTGTCTGAAAATCTTGTTAGTTTCATTGGAAGCGCAGTTTCCACTCTCCACTCTGCTCCAGATACCTAGAACAGCAGGGTTCTTGTAATTAACTCAGTTCTTCGGGGATGCAGATTGCTCAGAGTAATTAGCTCCGAGAAGCAGCCCAGGGTGAGGAGGGGCAGGAGTCTGGGGGGATCTGCTGAGGCAGAAGAAACATGTGGATGCAGCAGGAGGGTCCCAGCCCAGAGACAGAGACATGGAAAGTGGGGCTTCAAAGGGGAGTTGGCAGGCAATCCCCTCTGAGATACCCCCAGCCTCCAGCGCAACCTATAGGAGCTGGGTAAAGAGATGGGAAATCAGACATGCGAAAGCAGCTGTTGGGCTGGAGTAGTCCACCGGGCGTGAGTGACTCTCTCTCTCTCTCTCTCTCTCTCTCTCTCTCTCTCTCACACACACACACACACACACACACACACACTACACACATGCACATCCCACCTAACTCAGCTTCCGGGTTACAGAAAAATAAATGAATGAGACAAATATCTGACAGCATCCAGATCCTCTAAAATGACCCCATAATCACAAATTTCCACAGGGGAAAATGGAGAAAAGAAAAGACGGGATTCACAAAACCACGCTCTCCGTCTGTTGGACATGGCTGCAAGAGGGGTGAGCACAGACTCGGGAGGCACAGCTCAGGGAAACACAGGGTCGTGGCTGATTCAGATCCCATGGATCTACCGACGGCGCCATTCTCTGGGTGGCGGGTTTAGAACAGTGGTTCTCTATCTTGGCCACATGTTGGAATTACTCAGCAGTTTTTACAAATCTGTCGCCCAGGCCCCACCCCAGTCTGGTTAGATCTGGGGGGACAGGCCAAAGCTTTGGGTTTGTGTGCCTGTTGGCTTGTTTAGCTCCCCCGTGGTGACCCAATGCCCAGGACCACTGGTGCAGACGGTCTTTGCTTCCTAGCCCCGGAGAGACCTGAGTTTCTCAATGTGTGGTCTAGGGACCAGCTACTTTGCAAGCACATGAAGCGCTTATTGAAAGGGCTCTCTCGTTTACAACAGAATCTCTGTAAACTGAGGCCTAAGGCTCTGCATTCACCCCAGGAAATTCTCAAACACTTAAGGTTGACACCACTGACCTAGTGGTCTGGTTCCATGTTTTCCTGGCACTAGCAGCAGCTGCGGTTTTGATTACTTGGCATCTCTGTTCCGATGACCATCCCCTTAAACACCATGCTGATGCGCTGGGCTCCCTCCATGTCTGAGAAGGACTCGGGGTGCCAAGAAAAGAAGTTCTTACTCAGAGGAGGTACTCACAGTATACTCGCACTGCAAGTCTGCAGAAAAAGGGAGTCGGGCCCTGAATCTGGCCTCTTAGGTTCCTGCCAGGCACCCCCAGGAATTGGCTTCGTGTTCCCTCAGAGACCCTATTCCCACATTGCAGTGTCTGTTGACTATAGGAGGCTGAAAATAGCCCTCCGCTGGTATAAGATTCTAATCCCCAAATCTGTAAATGTGACTTTATTGTGGGGGGTACTTTGCAGCTGTGATTCAGTTAAGGACTTTGAGATGGAGTAATTACCTGGATTATCCTGGTGGCCCTACTGCAGTCATGTGCCTCCTTTGAGAGGGGGACAGAGAGATTGTACATCCACTGGCAAGAGGGCCGTGTGAAGACAGAAACAAAGATGGAGTGACGCAGCCACAAGCCAAGGAATGCTGACAGCCTCCAGAAGCTGAAGGAAGCGAGGAGTGGGTTCTCCCTTAGAGTTTGAAGGGAGCGTAGCTCTGCCTGACTTCAGCCCAGCGACCCTGATTTCAGACTTCTATAAGAGAATACATGTCTGTTGTTTTAGCCACTCACTTGGTAGTAATTTGTTACAGCAGTCACAGGAAACTAACACAGTAACCAACAATTTTCAGAATGATGTACCTCACATAGGGACTTCAATTTAACCAACATCTGATGCGCTCCTTCTATGTGTGAGGCACTGTGCCAGGCACCAGAAACCCAAAGCGAGAAAGACACTGCCCTGCCCTGGGAGGTGTGTGACCTTTTGCAAACAGACCAGCAAACAGCCGGATACGCCCAGAAGTACTGTGAGCACCTACCTCCCTGTGCAGTTTCAGGTGAACCTCCAGCGCTGGCAAGCTTTGAAAATGTTTGCTCACTGAGAAAATGAGCCGGTACAGCAGGAAATCGATGGCAGCAAACAGCACCCAGATGTAAAGGTGGGTAAGAATGGGGAGGAAAAACAGCCCCAGGATTCTCCTCTGTTTGGGAGTCAGCCGGAAAGATGGGATGACAACGTACTTCTTGCTTTCCTTCTTGTTCAGCGGGTAGACACAGGGTCGCTGTTGATGCCTCTCCCTTTCGTCAAACTGAACGAATTGTCTGGTGATGTAGATGTTTTCAAACTTCCAACCACAGGGGTCCAAAAATCGCTTCATGAAGAGGCCAGTGCTGAGAAGCACCAGCAAAAGCCCTGCGAAGGCCAGGAGCTGCCGTCCGAGGGAGGACAGCACCTCCGTCGCCGTCACCATGTGGTACAAGACCCCGAGGACTTTGCCTTTGGTGTCATTTAGCTGTGACTCCAGGGCTTGGCTGGGACTAAAAAGAGAGACGGCCAGGGTCTGGCTCCAAGACACGAGGCCATCAAATAGACTTAGGTGAGTGGCATGGCCATAAAGCCACTGAATTGCTTCAATATACTTTTTCAGAAATGGCAAATGTATGGAAAAGCTCTTTGCCCTTAGGTTGCAAGTCATGCTGTCCAGGAGCCCTTTAAAGTTGTGAAAGATGTTTTCCACGTGCCCAAAGACGACGTTCCCCGTGCCGGCCGCGATCAAAGCGTTCCTGCCTTCACGCAGGCCACAGGAGAGGAAGCAGAGGACAAGGAAACACCTCACGTGCCTGGAGAGGCACAGCAGAACACACATGACCGCCCAGGAGGTGCTGAGGCCTGCGAGCGAGGACAGAAGCCCAGAGAAGGCCACCGAGAGGAGACCCACCAAAATGAAAGCCACGAAACAGCAGATTCCCAAATGGTGGATAAAATCCATCCATCCAGGGCTTCTTGGCGACACATACATTCCCCAAAGACTTCGGAAGAGGTCGGTGGCTGAGTTCCAGACCCCCATGCTCTCTGTGTCCCTGGAAATGAAAAAGAGGCCAGGGTCAGACGCTGCTTTTGAATGCCCGGGGTCACTTTGTGAAGGGCGCGGTGGGAGAGTCATTGCAGAAAAGGGTCAGAATGCTTTACCCGTCTTGGTCCCCACCCTGCCTCCAAGTGTGACTTTCCAGCCAGCATCTCCGGCAAGAGTTGAGAGGAATAGACTCCATAAAGAGGTGGGCTCTGTTGCTCCCACCCTTGAGTTCGGGGCGACCTTGTACTATGTTTGCCCAATAGAAGGTGAGAGACGTGCCCATCCTGAGTCTGTGACTCGCTCCTATCTTTCTCTTAGCATCCTGCCACCACCTTCCAACAAGTCTGGGTGTATTCGTCCCCCCCTGCTGCGGTGGCAAATCACCACCCACTCAGTGGCTTGTAGAAGCACACACTTGTTCTCTTGCAGTTCTGGAGGTAAAATGGGCCCAAAGGCTCCAGGGAAGGACCCATTTCCTTTCCTTTTCCAGCTCCTGGAGGCGGCCTGCACGCCGTGGCTCATGGGCTCTCCTCCACCTCAAAGCTAGCAATGTCGCATCTTCTTTGCTCTCTGACCTCTGTTTCCACCTTGTACCTTCTCTCTATACTAATCCTTCTGCCTCCCTCTCATGAGGACCCCAGTGATTATACCGGGCCCACACAGTAACCCAGGAAAATCTCCCGTCTCAAGATTCTTAACTTAAGCACATATCTAGAGTCCCATTTACCATGAAAGGTAACATTTGCACAGGTTCTGGGCATTCAGACACAGAAATTCTTGGGTGGGGGAGGGGGTGTACGTTATTCAACTTGTCATAAGTGTGTTGGGCTGCTGGGCCACAAGGGACACAGCACTAGTCTATTGCATCAGCTCAGCCAACAGCCAGCTAAATGCCAGACTTGCAACGAGACCATCCTAGACCAGCCCACCAGCTGATCACAGAACTAATACATGCTTATTTAGTATAATAATAAATACTTATTTAAGCCACTGAATTCTGTGTTGCTTTGTTAGCCAGTGATTATTATGTGATAAAAGCAGCAACACTGTATCACTGGTCTTAAAAGCTGAAACAAACCCTAGGCTGATGGGCAGGCTGAAATTTCTATAAACTGCAGTGTATGAAATCACTTTTTGATAGTCATTTATTTTCATGTGCTCTCATTTTACAGACTAGAAAGCATAACAAGAGCATCCAAACTTAGATGAGGCACTGGGCTGAGGCCAATGTACCTCTGCTCTGTGACCACTGGGTCGCCCCTTCCGGACCCTACCCTCTTAAAGGGAGACACAAATATTTTGTCACCGAGTTAATTGTCTTTCCTTTCCCCCCAAATCTGGCATAATTAAAACACAGGAGCTGTGGGGCTGCTACCACCCTGTCATTCATGCAGATTTAGGTCTGTAATGAACTTAGGTTCATTTGAAACAATATAAAATCAATTTGAGATATTTCTTCCTTGACTGACAGAAAAAGACCTAATGAGCATTATACCATATGTATGGGATTTTAATGAAGACATTGATCAATTTTAAAACACTCTAAAATAAATCTCTTCTCACATCAGATATGATGGGGCTGGATTTATAGAGTATCACAATATGTCCATGCCAGTGTGACAGGTGTTCCAGGCATTGGCTAGAGGGCGTGAACTGAGCAACCTGAGGTGAGGAAATGATTCTCTGTCTGGGTTCAGGTTCAATTGAGTTAATGAGGGAAGAAATGAGATGGGGAAATAGGCAGGTTAGAAGTGTGGACATTCCTCCAGCCATAACAGAGAGGGCGGTCAGCTCCTGTCATGTAATCTGAATGAAATGCTCAGCACAGAAAAGAGATATGGGGAGAAATTAAGTGTTGAAGAAAGGTCATGACCAGGTAGAACTGGCCTTATCAGAGATTCAATATGTTCCAAGAGAATGTTCTTACTTTAGCAGGAGGAAAGGGAATTGGAATGGTCGTTAGAATGGGGACCAGCAAAAGCACATAGTGCTTTTTTCCTGCAAGTTCGCTTTCTTCCAGAATGGGAGGTTGGTTTGAAGGTTGGCAGTGTTCCTTGCACCAACCCACTCCCAGACCTTTGTGACCCCCAAATCACTGATGGGCCCCTGTGCTCCAGGCCCTTCCCCAGCACTGCCAGTCCCAGTGAGACCACACGCAGGACTTGAGCAGTCAGGTTGAGCAGGACAACCAGCACCAGGCAGGTCAGGAGGTGCTGCCTCTCCTGGGTGTGTCCCCACTTGCTTTCTTGGTCATGGTTTTGGATTTGACCCCAAACCGTTATTTGATTGAGACACTAATAGGTATCAATTGCCTCTTTTATCCTGGGCACTTTACCTAAAACATCACCCTGCAGCCTCTGGAGGCAGGTGCTCTTTGGGGCTCGCACAGGGGACACTGGGGCTCAGAGTGCTCACTGAGACGTGTCAGCGGTCACCCAGAGAGTAGGTGGCTGAGTGGGATTCCGACCAGATCTCTCTGACTCCTGGCCAGCTCTCTGTCCCCTGCATTGTGCCCGGATTCCATGACTCGGTTATGTGATAAGATGCTCAGCTCACTGTGCACCTGCTGGAAACACATCCCACAACCAACCTGTGTATCACAACCCCGCTTCTATCTGTTCATTTTTTCTCTGGCATCCAAGAGTTGACTCTGTAAGGACATGTCTCAAATCAGTAGATTTTTCTCTAAAGCAAATCATCTCAACTGTTTAATTTTTTTTTCTATCACCCTTTATGAGGCACCATTTTTTATTGCTTCCTAAAAAATTAATGATATACATTTTGGATTCATTTTTTCCTTCTTTTGTACAGTGTGTTATTAATACAGATATTTCTCTGAAAGTAAGAAACAGATTTATGGACACATTAAAATTTTAACATTCAGCAATAAAATCTAATATCAATTAAATAAGATGTATGACTGCAATTTTGTCCTGTTTTCTTAACAAGCAACCGATCTAATATTATCCCCTTTATTTTTGTGCTGAAAACAGCATGTCACCAAAAGACACGGCCGCTTTCTGCAGGGAGGGGACTGGACACATTCTCTCCTCTTTGGTAGCTGGAGCCCCAGAGGAGCCCTGGACCGGGAGCCCAGAGTGCTGTTCCGGTCTGCCCTTCCTGTCACTGTGAGTGTGGCCTTGATTTTTTTCTCCAATCTGTCTCTTATTTTCCCTACTTGAATAACACACCTGCCTGAGCCCTTTCCTGCTGAGCTTTACGGAGGACAGTTTCAGCAAACACCTTAAGACGCCCTGGAGAGAAGCTGCCCAGTAAACGCAACCCACTTGCTGCCACAGAAAATTGGGCACCTCCCCTCTCTGAAGCCCTGCAGTCAGGGATCGAAGCCCCAAGCCGACCAGAGGCTCAGGGGCGCGCCGGCCGCAGGCCTGCCCAGCTCTGCTGGCTCCCTCGCTCCGCGGGCTCCTGCGCTCCTTCTGCTGGTCTTGCTCTTGCTTCGACAGCCCCAGCTCTTTCCTCTTGGGCAATCAGTGCATCAGGGATGGACAGGATGGTTGTTTGTTTCTTCCTCAAAGACTTTTTTTTTCCCTTTTTTTTTGTTCAGATAGAGTGGGAGGGAGAGAGAGTAAGAGAGAGAGAGAAACATTGACATGAAAGGGACACATCGAGTGGCTGCCACCCGCACGACCTACCAGGGATGGGGACAAACTGCAACCGAGGTACGTGCCCTTAGCGGGAACCGAACCCCGGTCTCTCTGGACAGTAGGCTGATGCTCTAACTGCTGAGCCAAACCGGCCAGGGCTTTTTTAAAATTTTTTTTATTTTTGTTACAGATGCCCCCCACCCCCACCCCCCCCACTGATCTCAAAGACTTTTTCCAGCAGATATTCTGATTCCTAAATTTTGTTTTTAGAGCAGGAAGAAATCTGAGAGAGCAGAGCTTCTTCAACTAGAGGATGCAGCCGCCGGGGGAATCTTGTTGAAAGGCCCATTTTCATTGCGAAGGTCTAGGGTGGCATCTGAGACGCGGCGTCCCTCCCACGTTGCCAGGTGGGGCTGCGCTGCCGGCCGAGGGCCCGACAGGGAGCGAGCTCTAGTCTGGGCGGGGCCTGACGGTGCTTCTCGGGGGCAGAATGTTCCCTGTCTCGCTGTCCAACACGGTCCGCACCGTCGCTTGGGACAAGCGAGGACTTGAAATAGGGCTAGTGTGGAGCTGAATTTTTAACTGTCTTTAGTTTTAATCAATTTAAGATATTTTCATTGATTTTTTTACAGAGAGAGGGAGAGAGAGAGAGAGACATCAATGAGAGAGAAACATGGATGGGCTGCCTCCTGCACGCCCCCTACTGGGTGTAGAGCCGCCAACCAGGCAGGTGCCCTGACGGGGAATCCAACCAGGACCTCTCAGAACCAGGACCTCTCAGTCCATGGGATGTCGCTCAGTCCACTGACCTGCACTGCCGTGCTAGTTTTAATCAATTTAAATGCAAGCAGTCCCCTGTGGCTGGTGTCTATGTACTGAACAGCACAGCTCTGGATGACTGGCACCTTTCCACAGATGAGGAAGTGAAAATCCAAAGAGGCTAAGGGACTCCCCGAGTCATCCTGGCGTTGGAGGCAGAGTTGGGAGTGAGCCCCCAGTTCTCCACCACTCAGTGACACATTCCCCAACACAGCAAGATCTCATCTCTGACTCTTCATGACCCCTGTTTAAAAATCCTTCAAAGGGGTTCATGTGCTACATGGAGCTAAATTTCCCACATACAAAATCTGCCTTCAGGTACCACAAAATACACAATTAGAAAAGTGAACACCTATAGTCTGTGTCTCTATCCAAGAATTAGCTAAACAGTAATAATAATAGACAGTTATCAAGTTAACCAAGTGCCTGGTCACTGTTTTGGCATCTAATATACACTATTGTTAATCTTCACAGAAGCTCTGTATTACATCTAAATATTTTAGATAAGGACAGTGAGTCTCAGAGAGGTTAAGTAACTTGCCTAAGGTCACACAGAATGAGTGGAAGAGCCAGGATTCTAACCCATGTTTAAGTGACACTGAGGGTTCGAGATGGGCAGTTTCTCAGACCCTCTTTTACATAATCTTCAAAGAGTAACTTCTAAATGTGTTTGAAATGCATTCCCAGAATTCCAATCATGCATGCACCCTGAAATGCAGAGCCCACAGTGCCTGTATAAGCTCTCCCTTCATTGTCAACTGCATCTGGTGTCCCCCACCTCTTTGCCAACACACTTCCTGAACCCTCAAGTTGGCTGCTGGTCTCCATCCTGGGGTCAGGTCCATCCTGGTCTCAGGTCCAGGCTGCAGGATCCTCCTCAGCCGAGCCATCCACCCCAGGGTCAGGGGATGAGAGGTGCATTCAGTGTTGGCCCCAACTCTGTTGAGCTGGGGTCAAGGTCGGGGCTCTTCCTGTGCTGAAAAACCAGAGCAATATGGGCAGCACTCAGCAATTCAGAGCCTCCAGAGTCACACAGACACCTTAGAGGGGAGGAAATCGGGAGATACAGATACTTCCGAGAGGTGAGGAGTATGAGGCGATGGGCATGGAGAGCCTCTGCTCCATTCAAGCTCCAGGAGCGGCAGCCCCCAGCCAGCAAATTTTCTTCTAGGCTGTATAGAGACAAGGTTGTATAGTTGCTAGATTTTTTTTTTTTTTTCTTTTCAAGAGAAGCCAGAAATCTAGATTTCTTGGGGTGACATTTAATTTTTTTTAAGTAGGCTCAAATTATTTTTAAACACTCTGGCTGATTTTGTCCACTGGTTGCCAGTTTGCTGCCCTTGGTCTTTGGGGAATCCTCACATTCCTTCCTCCTTTTTCTGCTCTGCCTCCCTCCCCACCTTATCCTTCCTCCTCTCTGTTTACCTGAATTACCTTTCCCTCTTTTGCCCCTGGGACATTTAAAATCATGCTGGAGGGCAGTTTCCAGTCTAATGCATAAAAGTTTTCCTCTATGCCTTGGAAATATTTATTTTTGCCCCAAACGCTCTAATTCTATCTTATTCCCTTCCCCTGTGCTCCTGGATGGAGCCCCTCCCTCCCTCTCCGCTGCTTCTTCCAGCAGCTTGTAAAAGGCTAACCTGATCGCTTTAACCTGCAGTTTCTTATTTTGCCTCCATTATCAATAATGCTTATTGCCTGATTCAACATCCTTGCCTCCCGTGGATCAAGTACCTGCTTCTTGCTTTTATCAACAGCATATCCCCAGAGCAATTGCCACTTTCCTGCCTTGGTCCCTAACCTGCACTTTGCACCACATCCCAGTCAAGGGACCACGCTGGAGTCCACATGGGAGTATCACAGGCTAAGCCCCCCCTCCCCCCCTTTCACAGGGTTAAAGCAATTTTTGTGTGGCTGAGTAGGAGGAAACAAGGAAAGGAACAGAGCTGGTGATGAGGAGCCCCTGATCCAAGCCGGGAGCCATGTGAAACCTCGCAGTCTGTGTATCCAGCCTGAGCACACACTTATCTCCTTTCCCGCAGAGCTGAGCTGTTGCCATGGGAAACGCAAGTGGCCAAGCTCCTCCATCAAGCCTGCACATGCGAGCAGACATCAGCTGTGAGGTGCATACACAGTGGTTGGAGTGCTTTCCCTGGGGGGCACTAAATGTCAGTGGCAGCAACAAAAGCCCTGGCATGGAAGGTGTAGGCTCCCGGCTGCCACTCCCACCCCCAAAGCTCTGTTCACCCACTTTGTCAGGGAGTCAAGGAGCCAGTGTTCCTGAGCACTGTTCTCTGAGCACAGATCAACTCTCAAGGTGCAAAGAACCAGCCTTGCTTCACCTGCAAGGCCCAGTCAGCCACCGTCACACATGGGGCCATGAATCATACTAAGAACCTCCAAACAAAAGGCCCACCCTGGGACCCCTCTGGACTGGGGACATCGAAGACGTGCATCACAGTGCCGCTCCAGCGCAGCCAACAGAAACCCAGGGGCTCAATGCTTTACAAGTGCAGAGAAATCGATGTGGCCTTCTTCCGGGAGGACCTGGAGGTGAGGACCCTGGCAACTGTCCTAATGCTCCCCTCTGCCCCACTTGTGGAGCACTCGCCTTGTCTGACACCCCCAAAATTTCCATTCAGTGACACCAACCCATCCCGACCCTGCTCCCCATGCAGAAGCGATTGGCTTTTGCTCAACAAGCCCAGATGCAGTCTGCAGCACCCTGGGGGGAAATAAGCCCAGGCGGACGCTCCTTCTGTTCACTTGGTGCTCCTTCAACCTGCTCTGCCGAGCCCCGCCGGACCCCCATCTGAGCTCTCAGCCTCTCTCACTGTCTTCAGGGCTTGGTGGGAACCTCATTTTAAAGGTAATTGGAACAAAGGGCAGAGTGGGATAGGAAAAGGGCCTGCCTTCACCCAGAATGGGCTGTGTGACCTTGGATAGGTCACTCCACCTCTCAAGCTGGCCCAGCTGTCAAGCTCCTGCTGCCCAACAGTCTCTGAAATAAAGGTAAAGACGAGCAAAAAGCTGGCTCGGGTGCTGGCATTTCACAGTAGCCCCTCGCCTGTAAGTGGGACAAAAGAAGAATAAAGTGTTTCTCGTCTTTTTCTCTCTTTAAAAAAAAACAACAAAAAAAACACACTCTTGCAAACTTATCATTTGGTTGTGAACATACTGTTCTCTCAGCCTGCCAAAATAGCTCGAGCAGGCGCCCGTTCGAGGTGGAATGACTCCCTCAGAACTTTGTTTTAATCATTCTTGCCTTGGGAAAGCCAGCAAATGCCTTCCGCTGTGAAAGCAACCTTCACACAAGAAAGGAAAGATTAATGACGGCTACCGGGTAAACAGAAGAGCGTTTACAGAACAATTTGGTCTGTCGGTGTGCAGGGCATCGTGGTTGTGCCGGGCACTGTCATTGTGCCGGGCACTGTCATTGTGCCGGGCACTGTCAGTCGGTGAGGACAGCAGCTCTCTGCAGCAGCACCGGCCAGGCCTGCTCCTCAACACCACCCCAGGCTTGGCCAACAGGCTTAACTCTCCAAAGGCCGCGGAGAAGCTTAAGCCACAAGCTGCTCAGTTGAGAGGACATTCATGCCCAGCTCTTTCCTGAAATGAGAGTACTCAGACCCTCAGGCCAGCATGCACGAGACTCCCTGACATTTCTGCATGTAGGTAAACCGTTAGGGACAGAAGAGGGAGAGCAAAGTACCCTCTGGCCTCAATCGTTTATTCTAATCCACTAGTATTTAACTTTTCCTTGAAAAAAGGCAATTTCAAACAAGATTATTCTGGAAGTTTACTTACGGTTCCTCTCAGGCTCTTTGCATGCGAAGAGGCCCTTCCCACCGGTATGAGTCTTGATAAGGGACAGGAAAAGGGAACCAGAATGACAACAGGGTCACCACACCATGAATCAAACACTTTATTTCCCACATGAAGTGACTAAATCATGTAATACTGTCAACGGGAATAATGATGTAAAGGAACTACATATTTCTTTCCTGTATTTTCCTCAGAACAGATATTCTAGAAAGTAATGCAATAGGATATTTTCTAACAGGAGGAGTAAATTATGGAAACTTAGCTGGTCTCTTTCCCTCTGTCCCCTTCACGCTCACCCTCCTCACCGAGCCGTGGGGCAGCCCCAGGCCTCACAGTCCTCGCTCTCTTCTGCAGTGAAGGGGCAGGCCGCAGGGGCAGCCACCTCTGCAGAGACGACCCGAGACAGGTCATCTGACAGGTGTGAAACCCGCCATGCCTCCCAATCTTGCACGGGACTCTATCCTAGAGACTGTGCTTCCAGTCAAGAGGACCAGCTTGTGTAGTTTCAGGGAACTAGGAAAATCTCTAAACCCATCCAAAACATTGTTCATCTTTTTTTTTTTTTTTTTTTTTACATTTATCTTTAGATAGAGTGGGAGAGAGAGGGGGAGGAAGAGAGGGAGAGAAACATCAATGTGAAAGGGACACATCGAGTGGCTGACACCTGCACGACCTCAACCAGGGCCGGGGACAAACTGCAACCGAGGTACGTGCCCTTAGTGGGAACTGAACCCGGTTCTCTCTGGACCACGAGCCGAAGCTCTAACCGCTGAGCCAAACCGGCCAGGGCATGTTCTTCATCTTTTGATTGAGACTCATAATATAACTGCAAGAGCTTTTATAAAAAACAAGTTTGTTATTTATTGATTGATTGATTTAGATTAGAGAGAGGAAGAGAGAAAAACAGTGAGTGAGAGAGAAACATCGATCTGTTGCCTCCTGTACACACCCGACCAGCAGTGGAACCGGCCACCTTTCGGTGTGGGGCCAATGCTCCAACCAACTCAGCCACATGGGCCAGGGCGCCAAGAGCTTATATCTTAAAATTCATGCATTCCTGACAAAATACAAATATCCCTGAGAAGGGTTGACATAAAGAAAAATATGAAGTAAATAGCTGCATAGATGGGACCCTGCAAGCTCATGTCAAACATCGTGGTGAAGACACACAAACATCTGATGTTTGGGAGACACAGTTATCAATCAGTGAATAGTAGGGACCCAGTGAATATTGTGAGAAAATTAACATTACAAAAAGTAATCCGTGAGCATCACTGGGGTGTGCTGGAAGGGAGTGGGGACAGGGGCAGGAAGCTGAACTAGGAGGCAGGGCCAGTGTATTGGTCAGGATTCTCCAGAGAAACAGAACCTAGAGTGTGTGTGTGGGGAGAGATAGAGGTTTGTTTTAAAGAACTGACTCAGCTGAGTGCGGACACTGGCAACTCCAAAATCTGCAGGGTGGCCGTCAAGTAGGAGACCTACAGAAGAGTTGATACTGCACCTTGCGTCCAAAGGTGGAAAGTAGGCAGAATTCCCTTTTACTTGAGGGACCTCAGTCTTTTTTCTCTGAAGGACTTCAACTGATTGGATAAGGTCCACCCACATTATGGAGGATCATCTGCCTTATTCAAAGTCTGCTGATTTAAATGAAGAGTGTGGAGGTTCACAGGAAATGCGGCTAGAGAAATAAGGTCCCACATTAATGTCTGGATGGACATACTCACCCTGAGAACAGCCAGGAACACAGGCTGGGCTTAGGAGGAGACCTGGGGTGTAAAGACAGCTGAAAATTAGCCAGGCACGTGCCTGCAGCATAGCATCCAGGGCGTGGCTGTTGAACTCAGCTGCAAATCGAAACTATGAAACCAAATGGATTTTCAGAGGGGGACAGTGTGGAGAAAAGAACAGCAGCCTGAGAACCCCAGTTTATTGTGTACTGCGCTGCAGGGTGTCTTCCTGGCACCGAAAGGGTCGGGTGGCTGCTGAGTCACTGAGCTCACAGAAGACTGTCAGGGAAAGGTCTGGAGTGCAGCTGCCTCCAGGAGACAGAGGGTCCTCTAGCCTGGGGTGGGCGTGGGGCAGGGAGGCATTTCACACAGAAGCAACTGCACAAGCAAATGCGTGGAGACCAAAGCGCAGTGGCGAAGGCCTGCGTGTGACTGAAGTGTAAGGTGCTGGGGACAAGTGACCACAGAGGTGCAGGCAAGCCTGCTGCGCCCATGTCCCAAACAGCCCTGCAGCCCAGGAGGCAGAGTGAGTCCTGAGGTGAAGGGAGCCGCGAAGCAAGGTGTTTTCATTCAAACAAGAAGGTCCAGACTGCAGTGTGGACGGCTGACTGGGC